GTTGTGTCACATCACATGTTTATTCATACCGCCAGTGTAAGAGTAACATCAGTATTTGCCCAGTTCAATGTTTCTAATGACCAACACTTTGGCTTGTTCTGGTGTTCCCCTGAGCATATCATTAAACTCAAGGACCAGCCAATATTATCTAAGTGCTCCTCAGCCATTGTGTTTTTCAGCTGTCCATCTCTATGTTGGCGACAGAGTCTGATCAAGGTTTTATTTACAAAGTGAACAGTTAAGAAACACTCGTCGGGTGCAAGTCAAGATGATCAAAGAAAAGTGCGCCTTCAGTCAACAGGATGTGTTATGGAGAATTATTTGGAGATAAAAAAGAGAAATACTTGATTCATTATGAGACCAGAGAATAAAGAATACTGACTTCTTGCAAAACTTAAAGAAGAAGAACCACAATCTCCCAGCAATATGAGACAGCTGAAGGGCTTTGTAAAGAACAAGAAACAGACAAAATTAGAAAGACCCCAAGATGAAGTATGGAAAACAAATGGGGAAATGGAGGATTGATTTTCACCGATCCAGAAACACAAGTCCCAACTAATGATGCAACAAAAGCCCTACATCAAAAAGCAAGAGAGGAACACGTGAAAACCTGGGGCTCAAGGAAAGTTGACATGAATAAAACAAGAGCTCTTCCGATGACAATACCAATACTGTGTCGAACAGTTGTTAAAGGGAAGAGGCAGAATCAACACAAAGCCAGAGTCTCAAAGCAACTGAGGTCAGACCAGCAGCTACAGAGCCCGAACATAAGGCTCCACTTTTATTTCCATCTTTGTCAGCAAGTTCACTTCCACAAAATAAAGTGTAACTCCTGAGCACCACCCATGCAAGCCCCACTCATCATGGTGACAGGTGGAGTTTTAGAAGACAAGGGAGGCCTACCACAAAAATATTTCACAAGATCTCAGACACAGATCGAACAAGCTCAGAGCTTTCCTCCCAGGGTACACATGCCACTAGGGCAGTGCAATGTGACCAAAAATATATACTTCACACGAGACAAAATACTTTACAACTCCACAACTTTATTCATGCAAAAAAAAAAAACATCAATGTATTTTCACTTAAACAAGCAGCTGTTTTTTTATGTGCATTAATGTTATATAAACATGTAACAGTGCAAATGCAAATTCTTTGCTGACAGTTTAACCAAAAGGCATTTCCAGTGGAAACTGGCCGACATATCCTCAGCATAACCATGTATAACATCCACAAAACTTAAAAAGAGGTTATACACACACAATACGGTAATATCATGTTGAAGCACAGTACGTATCGCTCCGCCAGGCTCCGCCTACGATAGCCGTAATGCTCCGACAATCCATCGAGTGCTGCGGCTTTGTAGCTTAGCAAAGTCGTAGTAAAACATTTGACAGATTTTCGAGCGCCGTGCACATAAAATCGTTTCGATGAAACTATGAAAAAGACTTTTTTTAAATACTTGTGTTAAGTTTTGTATGGTAATTACACAAAATTCAGGTTGTCAGGTTAAATCTGACAGAAATAGTTTACACTGACATCCATTAAAGCATGAGTGCCGCGAGAAGCTGTGTTTGCATTTATTTGCACTGCCTTCCTCTCTTGATGTCTATTTATTTTAAGCTTTAAGTATAAAAGGGTCCATTCTACAAGATACGAACCCCAAACTGCTCTCCGATGCATCCATCGGAGTATGAATGTGTATGAATGTCAGCTAGAAAGCACTGAGAAAAACGTGCTTGTGTGAATGGGTGAATGCAAAAGTTGTATAAAGCGCTTTGAGTGCTCAGAAGAGTAGAAAAGCGCTACATAAGAACCAGTCCATTTACACGTGAATTAAAATGATGTATTTTAATCATACTAAAATTTAAAAAACCCCAGCAACAGTGCATTACCTTTTTATCATGGTCCCCGTGACTGCCCAGCCGGCCCTGCAGGGCTACATGTGTTTTGTATTCTCTCTCTCCTTCACTGCTCTGCCTGGGCGGAGCTCACTGTGGGCGCCGCCCTTGGCCCACACACCTGTTCGCGATTAGCTGTCGTTACCTGTCCACTATTTGAGGCTGGGACGCAGATCTTCTCGTGGCTGGATGGTTGAGACACGTTAGTGATCCTCTCAGCTCCCGTGAATCTATGCTTAAGTACTTTGTGACCTTTGAATAATTTCCCTCTGTTGTGTGATAGTTTTCCTCCCCGGACCTGTGACCTTCCTGCTGCGTGGACGTGTGTGAGTTTGGACGTGGAGGCGAGAGCGAGTGTGAGAGAGCTTCCCTTTGGAGCCCTGGATTTTCCCCTCATTGTACATATTCTGCACCGGTGTTGTAAATAAACTGTGTTTGGAACATCAACCTGCCCTGCGCTTGAGTCCCTGCTGTCGACCGTGACACTTTCATTATTCTAAGAAGAGTCGATATACAAAATACGACTGAACAGAGAAGCAGTTTGAGATCTTCTTTTTCAGTTTTTTAATTGGAATAATTGCAGTTTTTGTTTTTTCTGTTTTTTGGGGTTTTTTTGCTGTTTTGCAGCATTGGCATTTGAACAGCATACACATGTTAGAGGGTCAAATTCATAGCTCTGGTTTTGCACATTATAGAACACGACTGTCTCCTTGATACTTCAAGACTGTTACTGAACATCACCAGAAATTGCTATTGCAGTTTTACTCAGAGAAAACTGAGTAAAATGTTTAAAGATTCAAAGATTTTATACTATGACTGTTTGCATGTGAACCATACCTGTGCTGACCTAATTTGGTTTTGTGGAGGAAAAGACTTCCTGCCTCAGACGGGGTCAGGAACCTGGTAAGATTAAAGTTACCAGTGACTGTAATAGGACACTGGCTGAACCTAACTCAGGTACTTGTGTGGTTAAGATGATTTCTTAATTTTGATCTTGATTCAATAAAGATTTTGATATAAATTGGTGTTATTCTTAATTAAGTTGCAAATGGATTTAAATTCATACTGTTGGGTAAGTTTCCATAAAAACTGTACCGCATTAATAAAGTCTACTGTTTAATTGGCTAATTTACTCTGAAAATACCGTTGCAGGTTTGTTTGAACAACTTGTTTTCACATGACTGAGGGTGGTACAGAACAGGGAGGTGTTAGGTATGCACACCTCCCTGTACGTAGAAAGTGTGGTATCCTGTATCCTGCACTTTCATTCTTAAATAAACAGGTTAAGATTCTTGGAGTATGCTGGAGGACCTGGAAAGTGAGGATGAGATCAAGGATACTGAAATAGGACACTTCCTCTCATGTGTTAAAGGTTTCTTGTTGTCTTTCACTATGTAACAATAGTGTGATCAGACATTTCCAGTTGACCTCATGTTGCACTCTTTTGATAAGCTAGGCTTATAGCCTGCAAGTCCAGTAACTATTATTAAAAGAATGACAGATTATTCTTTTAATCAATTTACACCTTGAAAGGTATAAAAGGAGGGATTTATTTTTATTTTTAGAGCTAATGCCTCATCATTGGCGTAACATTTTTGTGTTTTGTCTATTGTAGAATAGTTTTGGATTCACTCTGATACTAACAGACTACGACCCCTTCACAAAAATGTGGAGGTTGTGGTACGTACAAGACAACAAGGCCTTAGATTAGGTGCTGTTATGAAATGCACCCCAGCTCCGTGTTTATGCAGGTCTGACTGGAGGGCAAGAGGTGGTTGTCATGGTAACGGGAATGTAGCTGGCAGAAGCATGAAGTGCGTTTCCAAATAATGAGATGCCCAGAAAGTTGCAGAAGAAGAAACGTGAGCTGACATCAGACCCAAGGCCACCCCGAACTGTTTCCACCAATCATGTTATTGTTATGTTTTTGTGACGTGCAATAGAAACGTGTTTGGCGCCCGGGCGCGGCAGCCTTTTGTCTCTGAGCCAGAGAGAGAAGGTCCATGGCAACATGAAAAACTAAAGTGAAATTCTAACCGTTTTGATAATAAATTGTGAAAACTTATAAGTGGAGCATATTTGTGTTCTCTCTCATGAAAAACCCTACAGTGACTGTAGCTCAGGAGGCAGAGCAGGTCACCCACTAATTACAAAATTGGTGGATAGATTCCCTGGCAGCCAGTCAGCAGTACTGCCTTGGGCAAGATACTGTGAATGTGTGTGGATGTTTACATAGAAAGCATTTAGGCAACGTGCTTATAGGAATTCACTAATTTGAGTAAATGGGGCACGTTGTCTAAAGTGGTTTGAGTGCTATTACACATATTTCTCTAAAATGGTTTTCTCGTTGCTGTAATTTCATCACTTGCAATTTCTTGGTCTTTTCTGGTGAATCAATTTTTTTCCCCCAATTGCAAATTACTACGGAGCCCCGCAGGGGACATGGGAGAAAAAAAAATTAAGACGGACTTTTGCGAGATCTCGCAAAAGTTGAATTCCAACAATGGCGGCAGCTACTTAGTTGTAATATTACTCTTTCTGGGTCACAAAATACACTTTTAAGATATTTTGAGGCGTGAATGTAGTTGTGTAAACGTCAGATACCTGCTCGGTTTACAAGACATCACATATTTGCAAAAGTGCTCCGACGTTTTCGGAGATCTGACACCCGCCATCTCGAAGCTAACGGGAGGTCGAGACCTACTACAGCTGGGAGGAACACCGCTTTCCCGGCACATCGTGCCTCGACCTCCTGGTCGGCTTCGAGATGGCGGCCTCCAAAGAATGCGGCTGAAACTTTTGCGAGATCCCGAGTCCGTCTTAATTTTTTTTTCCCCCCATGTCCCCTGTGGGGACTTTTCAAACTCGAAAAGTTGGCTTTTGTCATTGCTTTAGAGTGTTCTAACAGAATGTTAAACAGTGCTGTACCTGTGGAAAAACACACATACACATGAATGCATTTGTACAAATAATTTTAACCGTGACCAATCATCTTGTCCACCTCATCCAAGTTCCTGAACTATCATTCTAAACCACTTCTGCTGTCAGTGTCACTATAACCATATGTCCTCCGCTATTCAGTCTCGACGTGTCACTCACCTTGTACAGCCCCACAGTAGTTGGACCGCTTAAAATCTAGACCAGATTTGGTCTTGGCTGAACGTGATTGCCGCAGAAGCTGGTGTTTAAGACCGGAGAATGACAGGGATGGGTCATGTACAACAGCAGGCTGGATAAACAGGCTCTCCTCTCCCATCTGGATAAAACCCATCTGTCAAGACATATACAACCTGAAATTATTATGACTGTGTTGGGAAATCTGGTCCTGGAGAAAGAAAAGCATGATTTTAAAAGTTATATTTATTGTAAATTTACATTGTTTATTATTACAACCAATAATTCAAACATAGTGAAGATATAACAAAGTACTACATTTGAAAGAGCTCCATTATTTCTACATTTTTAAAATAAATACAGAATAAAAATAATGTAAAATTTTGGAAAGTTAAAATAATTGCAGGTATTTGTTTGTACTTAAGTAATTTCTGAGAAGAGTTCACATTTTGCTGTAATGTCTGTTTACCTAGTGTATTGCTACAACAATTTTTTCCCACATTCAAAAAGTTTGTTAACACCTTGGATTGGAGCCAGACTAAGTGTGATTCAAAAAAGTCCAATGATGATAAACGCAAAAAGACACCTGGCAGATGTGGCTGTTTCTCTGGAGAACAAGTGTGAAAATTTAGAGGCCACATCAAGAAGGAAAAACATCAGGATAATGAGGGTTCCCGGGACACGCCTGCTCTGCATCCCCTGTTTCGGCACTGCTGAAGGAAGCATTGGGCTTGAAAGGAGCGCCGCTGCTGGACAGGGCACACAGATCACTTCTACAGGCTCCCAAACAGGGGGCTCCACCACGGATCATCATTGCCCATCTCCACTACCTGTAAGAATGTGCAAATATCCTGCCGCTTGCTTGGGAAAAACAACAGATCACTGTGAATGGCCTGTCTATTTCCGTTCTCCCGGACTATACCACACTCATGACTGTTTAGTTCATGCTTTTCTATTCCATCTACAGTACTGTGCAAAAGTTTTAGGCAGGTGCTGTAAGCAAAGAATGCTTTCAGAAATATAAATGATTATTTATTGGCCCCAAATGTATTCTGCAGCAGGACAGCAAACCCAAACGTACAGCCAAAGTCATTAAGAACTATCTTCAGCATAAAGAAGAAGAAGTAGTACTGGGAAGGATGCTCTGGCCCCCACAGAGCCCTGATCTCCACATCATCGAGTGTGTCTGGGATTACATGAAGAGACAGAAGGATGCGGGGAAGCCTACATCCACAAATGATCTTCCCATCCCAGAAGTTAATTCTGAAAACTGATTTTTCTCTTTTGAATATTTATTATTGCTCATTAATAAAACAAAATGATTTCTTATTAGAGGTCTTGAAGGTAATTAACTCTTTAAGAAATTCCTGTGGTTTAACTAATTGGCTGTTTAATCACCTTTTCATCACGACTTCTGAGCCACATGGACACCAGAACAAGGGTTGTTCGTGTTTACCAACAGCAAACACCCATCATACAAAAATCGACCAGGACCAGAAGCGCTGTGTGGAGTTAGGTTGCTACGGAAACCAGGCATCCAGTCCTCGGCATCACCTGATGCCAGTGGCCGAGGGATGGGTCGCCGAAAGCGATATGTGAGGAAACGGAGGCGCAGCAAATGCACTGGGGTCTGTGCTTGGCTAAGAGCAAATCCAAGCTGGTTGGCTCTCCCATCCATCCTGCTCTCAAACGCTCGCTCACTAGACAAAATTAACTGGACTACATCCAACTCCAGCAGACTACACAGTGGGAATTTAGGGACTGCAGCATTTTTGTTTTCACAGGAACATGGCTCAGTTCCGGACACCACCATTCAGCTACACAGGCTCACCTCATTTCGTGCCAACCGAAATGTAGCTCTGTGCGGTAAGACTCGCGGTGGTGGCTTGTGTATCTACATCAACATGGAATGGTTATGGACAATCAGACCACTTGTGTGTTGTGCTAATTGCGGCATACAGACCGCTCATCAGATGCTGCAGACTGGCTCTGAGACAGCTGAGACCCTGGCCTGCAGGAGCTCTCTCTGCACTTCAGGACTGTTATGTTCAGGGAGTCTGCAACAAACCAACCACACCAACTTGGAGGTGTACACATCATCGGTGACTAGCCACATCAACAAGGGCATTGATGATGTCACTGTCTTCCAGGCTATCACAATACACTCCAACCAGAAACTGTGGATGGCTGCAGAGGTGGGTGAGCTGCTAAAGACTCGAGACCACGCGTACAGAGCAGTTGACAAGGCGGCTCTGTGAACAGCAAGGGCAAAACTGTCGAACCACGGACACTTCCAGACCAGCGGCGACACGCGGCACATACGGCAGGGCACAGAGGCCAACACCTCCCTGTGATGGTGACACCTGCCTACCAGATGTGCTGAACAACTTCTATGCCCTATTTGACGCTCAGAACAACATAATGGTGAGGAAGACTACCCCTCCTCACAATGACCAGGTTATGTGACTGACCTCGGCTGATGTGAGAAAAACACTTCGCAGACTTAACCAACGGAAGGCTGCTGATCCAGATTGATCACTCTTCCACGGATGTAGAGCAGCTGCAGATTTCCTCACTGACATCTTCAACCAAGGCCACCATGATCGTCTCTGGTGTCCTGCCTCAACGACTACCGTCCCATTACACTCACACCCATTATGATGAAGTGCTTCGAGAGGCTTGTCATGAGGCACATTAAGACCATTGTTGGCTAGCTTAGCGTTAGCATGCTGCCTGTGCAGGTGCTTGCAAAAAGCTGAAGTGTTAGCAGCATAATGCAGCTGTTTCTGTCCTGGAGCAGACTCCACTTTACCATCTCTCATGGTCTCATGCTTTTATCCAATAAAAATAAAAGTAATGTCTATATCCACGCTGTAAACACCATTTTCCTCCTTCAACACACAAACTGCAATCAGCTAATCATAGCGAGAGTCCCGATAAGCGGGATCGATAGGCAGGCAGACTAACGATTCCAATGAATTGGACTATTCCCATCCCTAATTAATAGTAACCCTGAATTCTTGATCACCTGATTTGGTGCTACTTGTATACAATAGAAATTCAAATTTAATAGCCGAGCTAACTACATTTGATAGCCTCCTACACAGGGCAATCCTGTTTAATTTGAAGTCTTACAGATTTTTTCAAGAAGCATTTGACAGTTTTATTTTCTATTTTGAATGGCTTCAAATCAGTAAAACAGAATAAGGTTTAGTATAGTATAAACACAATGGACAATTATACTCTGCATTTACTATAAACAGGCCTCCTCTGACTATAATGGTGTGGTATGCCATAAAATACAGCTCAGCCTGTTCCAGCATTTGTGCAGACATTCCACTTCCAGCTGAACCTCAGGACTAACAAATGATGTTAGCCAGCAGAACGTGGTCTGGAGGATGGATTAAAGGATTTCTACAGCTCCATCAACATATGAATATGATACCAGTCAGTTACTGGAGAGTAAATATATCAAAACTATGCAAAGTATGTAAAGATAGCTGTATTTGGAGGGATGTGTGGTACTTTAAAACTTTCTCTATTCTCAGAGTTTCAAAACTTTTAAAGAGATTAAATTGATTCATGAAAGTTTGATTTAACCTATCAAGTGCTGCACAGCGAAAGCAAGTGAGAAATGGGTTTGGTTAAGTTATACTGTAACTGTGAGAATATCAAATTTTAGAACTACTGCTCTTTCCCATGTTTTTTATACATTATTACACTGAAATACAGTTTATTTATATGGTAAAATCCAGTTTTTAAGTATGAGAGATTTGAATCACCTATGTTTAATTCTTATCACAGTCTCATCAGTCACTACTGGGGATGGAAATTAGATAAGAATTTAGCAACTATCGATTTCACCTATCAAGTCGATTGTGTATCGAGTCTCTTATCAGTTGTCGTTGGGTTCTCTTTGGCTCTGTTTGCACAGTCGCCTGAAGTAGCAATAAAGAAATTCCTCTCTTGCCAATGAATTCATGGTGTGGGTTAAATGTTTGTGCATGTTTTTTGTGTTGGAGTCGTTACTCAAAAAAGTCATGATTGCAAATATTACATCCTCCTCCGACCACAGGTACAACATGCCCAGGACCCACTACAGTTCGCATACAAGGCGGATGTCGGAGTGGAGGATGCCATCCTGTACCTCCTGCATAGAGCCCACTCACACCTGGACAAGTGAAAAAGCACGGTCACGATCCTGTTTCTTGACTTTTCAAGTGCCTTCAATACTATCCGGCCCTGTATGCTTAAGGAGAAACTAAACAGGATGCAGATGGACCCCTGCCTGGTCGCTTGGATCTCAAACTACCTCACCGACAGACCACAGTACGTCAGGCTGTGGTCAGCAGCACAGGAGCACCACAGGGAACTGTGCTGTCCCCTCTTCACCCTGTACACCTCTGACTTCTGCTACAACTCTGAATTATGCCACATTCAGAAGTTTGCAGACGACACGGCCATCATGGGGTGTATCTGGGATGATCAGGAAGAGGAGTACAGAAGTCTGGTGAGGAACTTTGTCGCATGGAGTCACACAAACCACCTGCAACTCAACACCTCAAAGACTAAGGAACTGGTTGTGGACTTCGGGAGGTCCAGAGCAGGTCCACTGCCGGTTCAGATAGAGGGGGAGGAGGTGGAGGTGGTCAACAAGTACAAGTACCTCGGGCTGTGGGTGGACAATAAACTGGACTGGTCATGCAACACAGAGCACCTGTATAAAAAAGCCCAAAGCCGACTGTACTTCCTCAGGAGGCTGAGGTCTTTTAACATCTGCAGGAAGCTCCTGAGGATGTTTTACCAGTCGGTGGTTGCTGGAGTCCTTTTCTATGCTGTGGTGTGCTGGGGGAGCAGCACAGCAAAGAAGGACTCATGCAGGCTGGAGAAACTGATCAGGAAGGCTGGCTCTGTGGTCGGCATGAAGCTGGACACTCTGGTGACAGTGGCAGAGAAAAGGACACTAAAGAAACTGCTGGACATTATGGACAATGCTGGGCATCCTCTGCACACGGTCGTTAACAACCAGAAGAGTCTGTTCAGTGACAGGTTGCTTCTCCCCAAGACAAGAACTAACAGACTTAAAAACTCCTTTGTCCCACACGCCATCAGACTGTTTAACTCCTCTCTGGAGGGGAGTTTCATCTAATCTAATCT